GAGTAAGAAATGCAATCTATTATCTACGGACAAATACTAGGCGTTTAGAAAAATACTTGGCAGAGTTATCCAACTATATTTTCAATGTGTTTTAGACCTTATTTTTATAAGAAAGGACATTATTAGAAGTACTTGTCTAAATATGACATCAATGTTCCACACAAGGATGAATAAAAGATTGATAGATGTAGAGAATGGAATCAGAAGTGTTAAAACGACAAGCAAGGTAAATGATGAACTATAGCAGAGACCAACTTGATTGAGTGCAATGATTGAGTGTTTCCTTGAGAGGTCAGTAGTAAAAGAAATTTAGAGAAGATATTAAGTAAAAAACTCAAAATAGGCGTCTCACTTACTCAATAAAAAAGTGTAAATGAAAAAAAGAGTGAGTGAAAAGAAGAGTGACTGTCAATATAAATTATAAGTAAAATTAAAATAATTTTTTGCAGTAACTGCTCTTATCTGTCACAGAAGAAAGATCTTCTTCATGATGATTTCATGAAGAAATCATGAAGATGAAGAAGGTCCTGAAGCCTTGCTGTCATTAAAAAAATAAATAATAGATACTTCATTTTTGTTTTGGTTTTGGTTTGATGAATATTGATTTAAGACTGTGGTTTTTCAGATATTTATTGAAGTCAGTATTGAATGAGTGAATCTTTTTCTGTAATTCTATTTGAATTAAAACAAAGAATGAATTAAAAGATTCCGAAATTTTGATGGGGTTGTATATCATGGAGTTGTTAGAGATAAGCAGGAAGGATATGAGTTATATATAGGATATGAAGGATATGAACTCTCAAATTAATGTTTAAAAGACTTATACCATCCCATGTAGATTTTAAATTTTTGGCATGATCAGAGAAAAACTTAGAGTAATGGTTCTTTTTACTTTGATGGGTGAGATTAACAAATAAGTTTCTATATGTTTTATAAGATTTTTCTTGATTGAGTTTGTTATTAGAATTCTTTGTTTTAAGAAATTTGTTAAATATTTTATTTTGTATTTTGATTAAAGTCAAGATTTTTTTTGTTATCCAAGGTTTGAGACCCCTTGAGAAGCAGTGATTGCTGACTAATTTTAATGATGCATGTTTATCAAAAAGAAAATTGAAACTTGTGAAATACTCATCAAATGATTTGTTAGTCCTTCATTAAATTGATTACATTAGTCCAGCTAATTTTTGAGAAATCACTACATAACAACTTTTTTTAAATTCCGAAAGATGCAGCTTATATTAGAATTAAATTTGATTCTATAAAATTGATGTATTAAAAATTGGGGTAAATGATCTGATACCGTAGAAGTAAAATTACTGGCAAAAATATTTGTAGAAGTTGCATTAAAAAATATGTTATCAATTCGAGTTTTTGAGTGATTTGTGATTTTTGTTAGCAATGAAAAAAAGAGAAGAAAGTTATTTAAAGCAATGGTTTATAAAAATTAAGAAAAAAATTAGAAAAAACTGTCTGATAACAAGCATTATTATATTTAACAACACCTTATTAGAAAAAACTGTCAAATAAAATAAATTTATCTTGTTTATCAAAGACTTGAATAAATCTATTATGCTGGTTTTCTCAATTATCTTTCTATATCTAGGATCATGAAAAAAATGAAACATGAAGAAAATCTCAATAAATAAATGAAAAAAAAATTTGAAATGAATAAGTTTAAAAAATTTGAAATGAATGTTGTTTATCACACACTTATTTATTTCAAATTTTTAAATAACAATTTATTTCAAGTTTTTATAAAGCAACTTACATACTGTGGTTAGAAAGGAATGATTCAATAATTTTGAAGTTTTTCTGAGATGCATCTTATGAAGATAGTTTATTGAGAAAAGCAGCATCAAAAGCCTTTATCAAGATATATTATAAATATCATAAGAAAAATATCAAGATTTTAATCAACCATATCAAGAGAACAACAAAAAAGCAACAGCTTTGCCTCACTTTATCATTATCTTGCCTCACTTTCTTTTACCTAATCTTTTTATCTTTTTATTACTATGGTTACAATGAGTCAGCAGTAAAACAAAAAAATTAAAACTATTCATTTATTTCTCAATTCCGATAACAAATAATTAGTTAATAAATAACTAGTATTCAGGTTTAAATTAAGTTTAGAAATTGAATTTTTAGACTCAAGATAAAATTTTAGAAGGGTTTTACTTATAACAGTTTAATAACTAATAATAATAGTAACTAGGCAACAGTTAGAGGAGACAGAGCCATCACCAACAAACATCTCAAACAACACCTCTAACTTCCGACAAGGCTGCAAGCAACCACTAATAAGTTGGGAGTTACAAGAAAAAAATATAGAGTTATATAACAAGTAAAATAAAATAAAAAGTGTTGACAGAAGGATTTAAAAGTTAAAACTGAAATGTTACTTGAAACTGAAAAAATAATAAAGTTATATAGCAAGCAGGTTGACAGAAGACTTGAAAAGTTAAAGGTTGTATGCGTCAAAAACATGAAGATGGGAGAGAGTTAAAGTGCAGAAAAAAACAAGACAAATAAAAGTTTTTAGAGCATGCAAAGGCTGATACAGTAAAAAGATAAGGCTTTGCTGAATTACGAGTCAAACAAGAACAAGTTTTAGTTGATGGAGCTTGAGATGATATCTCCTAGTATTTGTAAGAAAGAGATCCAACTTTATGATCATGGAAAAGAGGCTCAAGCTTAGCAGATAGAGCATTTTCAACTTCATTAACAATGCAGTTTATGAAGTTGAAAATGAGAAATTTGTGAACTTTGTTGAGTTTTGTTGGAAATTAAATAAAATCTAAAATTCACAAGCCACTACAAACAATTTGTTACAGAACTGAGATATGATTTAAGATCAATTGCCTGTTCTTAGCCATTGAAACGAGAAGACCTTTTGTCAAGGCTTGAGTATAAAGTGAAATCATCACCAAATAGAGCCACCCTTAGATTTAAGGTTATGAGGTCGACAATGAAGATAGGATACAAAACAAAAGCAAGGATTGAAATTTTAGCTACCCTTAAAGTTACTGGAAATGAAGAAGAAAAAATGATTTGATAATTTCAAAATCTTTTCTAGATACACCACATGAAGCAAGCAGAACTTTATAACATCACACCAAACTTTATTGAAAGCTTTAGATATATCCAAAAATCGATTGTCTGACAGTAAGTTATTTGACTCAAGATGGGATTAGAACGATCAATTACTCAAAGACATTGCTAACAACAGATAGAAGACTGATTGGACAATAGTTAGAGAGCTCATGATGTTTTCCAGAAATTTTAAAAAAGGTGTAGTGTTATTGACAGGCAACAGTTTCCTATTACCACTTCAAATGCTGTATTTTAAAGGGAAAGTTAGTGAGGGCAATAAAAGAGTTTTTTGTCCTAATCTATAAGTGTTTTTTTTTTTACAAAGTTAATAAGTCTGAATTATAAAACCATAAAACTGAATTATAGAAAACTGAATTATAGAACTGTCTTTTCATTAGGAAATAATAGAATGAGTTGTCATAAAAACAGAGAATTAAACAAAACCCATGCATTGAGTCATGGAGATACAGCATTCAACATCCTGAACCGGAAACAATTTATAATAAATACATCTACCTAAAAAATGAAGAAGGGGTGCAAGAAGAAGGCTTGTTAACAGATAGAATCTGTTTACCCCTTAAACTTAAATCACTTTACCGCTTATTAGAACAACCCTTGCAATGCACTTTTATAAAGTGCATTATATGATAAAGTTTGATGACATAATTAAAGAAATTTTTTTTTTCTTTAGTTTGACTAATATAACAATCATCAAAATGGCCAGTTGTTATATTTTTTGCATTATATATTTTTATTGCAACTTTTGCTTTCTCTTTCTTATCTATTTGGATGTTTCAAAGTCTGCTAGTTTCAAAATGGCCCTTGCTTTGTTTTATAATCTTTTCCTGAAACTGGAACTTAAATTTAGGGAAGAGTTTAATTAAATTTAAGAGAAACTTTTTCAATTATTAACAAGCATAAAACTAAAATATAATAACCTTTTGAGATTCCAACAATTTTTTCAGTTTAGTATAATAATAAATTAACAATTAATAAAATATCTGTTTAATTTAAAGTATTTTAACTTTTTGCTTGTTATTTGTAACTGTTTGTTAATTATTTTAATATTAGTTTTATGCTAAAAAATAAAAAAAAATGTCCTCAGCTTACATAAAGTAACTTGATTAGATATATAAGCAGCCATTTTGTTTAGATACGTGCTCTAACTAGTGAAGGAAAAGGATTAGCAGCTTATTTGACAGGAACAACAAATACTCTTGGTATTTTTTGTTATCATTATTTTATACATTACACAAAACACAATAAGCATAATTTAATATTTTGAAAATGCATTTTTACATCTTGAAAGCAGGATATAGGCACTAGATGTGGTATAGGGCACAGCCACAGACATGGTATAGGGTACAGGCGCAAGGCTGGGTAAAAAGGACAAAAGCTTTGAAGTAAAAGTAATTTTTATTAATTCATTTAAACAAAAATCTCTATAAACTGATTTTTTTTTTTGTTTTTAAAAAGATTAAGAACTAGAAGTTAAAGTATTTAGAGATTCAAACTCACACAGTTATAACAAACAGAAGTTTGTTATAACTGTGTGAGTTATTAGGATTATGGCCAAACTCTTTTAATTTTTAACTCTTTTAATTTCTAAGGTTTATTTTAAATAGTAATAAAATATAAGTTTACTACTATTTAAGACAAACACAGTATAAAATATTATTTAAGTTTGAAAAATACACTGTGTAAGGAAGTCAGGGTGGCCAGCAGTCCTTAAAAACCTGGAAATCATGTTTTTATCTTTTACAGAGTTACTATTAATTTTGCATAGATTTAAACTGAATGTTACTGTTAGTATTATTAACATCTACTATATAGTTATTTTTCATTTTCATATTTTTTCTTAAATCAAAATATTTATAAGATAATATTGTATAAGTTTTTATTATTAGATTATTTTGCACCCTCACCTCCTCAATTACATGTTCATGGTAAAACAGAGATTTTTATTGAGTGGGATCCTCCTAAAAATCTTCTTGGCAGATTAAATTATTATGAACTTAGAATGGATAACATGGTTTGTTGTTTTTTTATGTTTTTCTACTTTAATTTGTTTTTAGTTTGAAATCTAACAAGAAATTCTCTGATTCTTAGTAACAGTAGTTGTGACATGAATTATAATTTTCTGATAGAAAAAGTAATTTTTCATTTAACACGGAAGGTGTGAACACAGAGGCTATTAAAGTTTTTTTGCTCATCATGCAAGGAATTTTATTGTTATTATAGTCTTTGCTTATGCATGTTTTTTTGTGATTTTTGTCATCATTTACATTCTTTCTTATTGTTGTTGTTTTTTTATTTTGCTCACAACAAAAAGCCATATTAAGCTTTGAAGTTAACTGTGAAGCCAAAAGTAGTAAAGAGAGTTAAAGAAAAGAAAACTGTTAATAGAAGGCTGTAAATTGAAAACTGTTGATAGAAGGGTGTAAATTAAAAACTGTTGATAGAAGACTGTAAATTAAAAACTGCTGATAGAAGATTAAAAACTGCTGATAGAAGTCTGTAAATTATCAGGAAAAAAAGAGTCAGGAAAACATGAAGAGATGTGTGATTTTCAAAAATTTTTAAATCCTTTTATTGCATTCGTAGTATAAAAATAGTTCTCGATGGACAGCACTCTTATTTATATGCCCTTTCTTTTTTAGACTAGGTGCAAAAATAAATTGTAAACATAGTTGGACCTGCTCTTGCAGCCAACCACCAACCATAATCACGTTGTCGTAATGTTTCTTCTCTTTCTTTTTATTTTACAAATATTATAATGGGCACTGCTCTAAAGAGCTAGCAATTCTTGTGCCATCTACAAAAATTTATTCTTGTATTACTTTGTCATTCAGTTAAGTCTCATCCTTTTTCTGTGACTGTTCCTAAGTGCAATAAAATCTCTTATTCATCTAGTTTTTTTCCTCAAACATCAGTTTTTTGGAATTCACTTCCTTTATCTTGCTTTCCTGATCTTTTAAGTTGTCTGTCAATCATTATCTTGCTCTACAAACTTCAAATTCTCTTCCGGTAACTTCCAACTCTAATAGTGGTGGTTTGCAGCCTTGTTGGAAATGAAGATATTGAGAAAAAAATTTTTTTTTTTTGAGTTCTTAGTATACTTGAAACCCTTTTTCCTCTTTTTTCTCTTATTAAAAACATTCTTAAGCTTAGATTAGTTTATTTTTTCTAAAGTCTAATATAATATCATTTTGCTGTTATTGCACTCTTTACTGATTGAAGGAAATCCAAAAGGATATGATGTTATTTTTTTCTATATTTATGTTCTTAAAAGTTTTTAGATTTACTATTTATTGGAAAACCATTATGTGTTTTGTCCACTTGTATTGAATGTTGTTCTTTTTTTAGCAAATGTTCCTCCTCATATCATTATTTTTTGTTTATTACTTGTTTAAATATTTATTTATTTGATTTATGCTTTAGAATTAAATTTATATATAAATAAATAAATTTATATATAAATAAATGTTTCAAAACAATTAAAGAACTTCAACAATAAATTAACACAGTTAAAACATTTATTTCCAGGTAATATATAGAGGAATTGACCGCTGTTTTACTGCGCAAGCTCTTCATCCAACTAAAGTTTATAGCTTTACAGTAACTACATTTAGTTATATTTGAAATTTGTTTTTAGTTTTAAAATGTTATTCTGAAGTGAAAATATTAAATTTCAGGTTTCAGCTTGGATGAGTGAGGGTAGATGCGAAAGTTTACCCAGAACACGTCGAATCAGCAAGCAATGTAATTTGTTTCAATATATCCAAATATTAATAATAATATAAAAAGTTTTATTTTTTTCAGTTTTAAAATCAGATTTGAATTCTCTGACTGTTCTATTACGTGCTTTCGTTTAGCACCTCTTCACTTGATTACCTTTTCTACCCACTTTTTGGTGTTCTTTCTACTCAAATTAACCTCAAATTAAGTTTTTTATTCTTTATTAATTTTCTAATGTTGTTGTTATTGTTGACTTTTATATTTATCAAACTCATTGGCTTGGCTCTAGACTTTGCAGGTCTTAAATCTAAAAATAAATTTTATTTAAATCTCTTACCGATAATAAAGTTGACAACTTCAAACTGGAATGTATTTAAAAAGTGTTTAAATACCTAAAAGTATCATCTACAGTAAGGATGGCCAAAGTCTTTATGACAAAGGGCAAAAAAATAATCACAAACATCTGTGTAAAATGTAAATGATTACTACAGAAATAGTCTTTTTATTTTAATTTTTTTTCAATATTTTTCAATTTAAACAAAAACATCTTTTCAATTATCTAAGTATAATAACATCTGTGCAACTACAACTGGAAGTTTTACAGATGTAGTTACATCTTTTCAATTATGTTAAGAAAAACCACATCTGTACAACTACATCTGTAAATTCTGATGACGTAGTTACATTTTTTAAATTATATTAAAAATAGTTACATGATTTTATAGAATTATTAAATTATAATGTGTTATATTATTCAGATGTAGTTACATATATGATTTTTTTTTCAGATGTAGTTACATCTGGAAAAAATTATTAAATAATAATGCATTATTTTAACCAGATTTAGTTTCATATAAGTTTTTTTTTCAGATGTAATTACATCTGAAGGAAATTCTTCCAGATGTTATTGGCTTTTGTGAAAAATTGCAAGACGTAGTTACTTCTATCGAAAGATGTTGTTAAGGGTCGTTGATTTTCCAGATGATATTGGACAGATGTTATGAGAGTAAAAAAAATAGAGATGATCTTGGACAAAATTGCACAGATGATCTTGGACTAGTCCACAGATGTTTTTGGACAGGTGTAGTAATCTTTTACCCAAATTTCCAGAATGCTTTCAAGAGAAATAGATGACAGAGAGGTTTTGATCATGTCTGTCACCAATAGCTCTACCAGTTTATTTTTTAATCTTGTGTGATTATTAATTTCTATAATCAGGGTTGGAATCAAATATGTATTTTTATTTGAAGTTCTATTTTTATTTGGTAGTTATAGGGTAAATTGGCGTATTTGTATTCGTATTGCATTTGATTTAAAAATTTCTTAAAATTTTTTATTTGCATTTGATTGAAATGTATTTTTTACAGTGTTTTTCCCCAAAAAATCCAACCGTAAACAAGGATGACTGGTGTTTATTTGGGAAAAATCTAAGATATTTGTTTTTTTTTTCTCTTTTTTTTAAACACTAAAATAAGCTAAAATTTAGTTTTTAAAGGATAATTTTTTATGTTTTAAATTTAAATTGATATTTATAAAAGACTTGTTTTCATTCTTCTATTTAGCATACCATTTTATCAATATTGTATTAAAACAAATCTATGTATTTTTTCAAAACTAATTTACAAATATTTGTATTTGGAAAATGCCAATTACATATATTTGTACTTGAATTAGTATTTGGAAATCTGAAATTAAAGTATTTGTATTTGTGTTTGACCCTGTCTATGATTATTAATTTGGTGTTTAATTGCTGATATATTCATTCTGATATAAGGAATAGTTGATAAAAAGTTTTATTATTTTAAACTTTGAAATCTGCAAAGTCATGGTCAAATAATTGTAAAAGTTTCTATATGGCGGCTTTTTTATAACTCTATTCAACTTCTACCTCTAAAAAATTATTTTTTGTTGTTGTTGTTATTGTTATGCGTGTTATGTCGTTGTGTGTCTTGTATTAGTAAATAATGATGCATTGCAATGCTAACTTTATTGGTTTCTCTATCTAGTTCTAACCAGATTTAGATTTTCTATCTAACGGTTAAATTTCTTTATCTACTCTTAACTCGGTTTAAATTCTTGATTTACTATTAAACCAGTTTTGATTTTTTATCTACATTTTATTCGGTTTCAATTTTTTTATCTACTTCTAACCCAGTTAGTTTTACTGGAGATTCCTGGTATCTAAGTGGTTTGATGTGTTATTTGAATATTCGATAATCAAATTATTTGAATAAACATTTTGTGAAAAGTTGAATTAAAATATTCAAGATAATCTGGTAAAATTTTTTAATTTTGTTGATTCTTGAGTCGTGCACTTTTTTTGCAAATGAGTTTTTGTGGCATAAACATTAGAAATAAAGTTTTATGATGGTTTGCATTGATCATTTTTATGTTATTTTTATTTCGATCTGTTTTAATTACAAATTTTGTAGGTTTATCAGGCCGCTATACAATAAGGGGTTGTATATAAATTATGTCACGGAATTTTTTACCATTTTTTACCTCTCCCTTACCCCTCGTTACAACTTCTTAACTCTTTAGTAACAAGTACGAGTCCTTGTTAACAAGTACGAGTACGAGTCCACCTTCTCCTCCCTAAAGCACGACGCAATCTATGGATGACACCTAGGTGAAAGTATGTTAATTAGTTGTTTGTTTGTTTTTTTCTTATCAGAATAACTGTAAGAACAAAATTTCTGGCAAACTTCTTACGTCGTGTTTGTAAAAGAATTATAATCTTATGTTGCAATAATTGTGATCATTTAACTTAATTTTTTATTAGTTTATAAATCCGACATATGTCGGATTTACTATTAGTTTATAAACCCAACATATTATATCGGATTTATTATTAGTTCACAAATTTGACATATTATGTTGGGTAAAAAATTACATCTGTCCAACAACATCTGTGGAGTAGTCCAAGATCATCTGTACACTTTTGTTCAAGATCATCTGCACTTTACTTTTACCCTCACAACAACTGTCCAATATTTGAAAATTAAACGACCCCTAACAACGTCTTTAGAAAGATGTAACTACATCTGGTAATTTTTCTCCAAGTCCAATAACATCTGGAAGAATTTTTTCCAGATGTATTTAAATCTGAAAAAATTTCTTTATGTAATAACATCTGGTTAAAATAATGCATTAGTAGTTGATTGATCTTAAAAATAACATTATCTTAAAATCTGAAAATGTAGTTGCACAGATGTTATTACACATTGATTATTTAAAAGATGTAACCACATCTGTAAAATCCAAAGATGTTGTTGCACAAATGTTATTACACTTAGATATTTTAAAAGATGTAACTATATCTGTATTTCATTTAATTTTTTCTCAGATGTTGTTAGACATCAACGAAACTTCAGGTGTTGTTGGACAAATATTATTATACCTCATTATATTTACAAATGTTGTTGGACAGATGTTATTAGACATATTGTTGGACAGATGTTATTAGACATGGCAAAAACTGATGTTGTTACACTGACCCTTATGTCGGACTTATTAATGACATTAAAATTTTGTTATTAAAAAAGTTCGGAAATAAAATAATAAAATTAATTTTTTTATTGTAACTACATCATCGTCTATTTTAAAAAGAAGAATCTCTCTCAAAGAGCGGTTTGAATCGCGGTTCAACGAATTGTTAGTATGCGACTAAATTTAACTTGTAAAGTTTAAAAATTAAAAGTAAAAATTATAAGTAAAAATGTGCCAAAACCAAAGTGCAATTGTTAAATATATGTAAATATTTACAGTTATTTATATAAAATTTAATTTTTCACAAAATGGTATATTGTAACTTTAAAATGTTTCAAGGATGGTGATGAAATTCCAGCAAAAAAAAAAACAGAGAAAAAAAAAGGTTTGTTCTAGGGTTGTTCGCCGAAAAACAAAACTTGCGAAAATTTCGCATTTTTATCTACCGTAATAGAATTGTTATTACGGAAGTTGCATATGCGAAAATGCACATTCCGTAACGCGCTATACGAAAATATAAATAAATAAAATTCCGTAATAAAGCATTGCGAAAGAAAACTTGCGAAACAAATCATTTCGTAAGAATACTTACGAAATAGTTCCTTACGGAAAAAGCATTCCGGAATGTGTAGTTACGAAAAAGACGCAAAAGATTATATGTTACGATATATTTAAGATATTAACCGTTAACAGTTCAAATAATAGATAATAAAATTATAAAAAAATGTTGTCAAATGATTCTTCAAATGTTTATACAAATATACCTAATATATATATATATATATATATATATATATATATATATATATATATATATATATATATATATATATATATATATATATATATATATACATTAACGGGATTTTATTGTATATATATGTGTATATATATATATATATATATATATATATATATATATATATATATATATATTTATATATATATATATTCATATATATATATATATATAAATATATATATATATATATATATATATATATATATACATTAACGGGATTTTACTGTGTATATATGTATATATATATATATATATATATATATATATATATAATATATATATATATATATATATATATATATATAAATATATACTTATATATACAGTAAAATCCCGTTAAGTTTAACTCTCAATGAATAGATAAACAGTATGCCTTTCTTTTTAAAAAGTATAAAGAGGATGTGTGATAAACAATTAAATACTTTATTATAAAGAACGAGAGATCTCTCTAAAGGTAAATGATATCAGAAAGAGTAAAAAGAGAAGAAATATATGTGAAACAGCGGGATGTGAACCTGGGTCTACGCGGCCAAATTTCTTAACTGAATGAGCTATACGTTCATTCAACTAAGAGAATAGTAATATTTATTTAATATATAATTTGAAACTATATAAAACAGAATTTACAGAAAGAGATACGTATGCAAATAGGATTCTATATATCAGGAAAATGAATAGTAATGTGAACCTTTAGATGCTTATAATTAATATCTGGACTCAAAAACTAGTTACTTTTAATGGAACACAATAGGCTGTATGAGCCTCAGGGAAATTATATTCAGAAATGGTTATATTAGACTCAGAGTTAGCTAGAAATTATTACAAAGTATTTAGGACAGATGTCTAGTACAAAAAGCAAAAGATTTAAAGCAAAATGAATTATATTATTTGAAAAAATTGTTTTACGTACATTTCATCATAATTTAAGTAGAACTTAGTAAAGCAAGGGAAACGTGTTAAATTATGCACAATGAACTCAATCTTAAAAGAATAACTAACAGAAGAGAGGTTGTCACTATTGTGAAGGCGACGAAAGATCTGTAATATAGAACATGGAGGTCAAAAAATGCTATCTTAAGTAAAAAGAGTTTGATGAACAAAAGTTACAATGGCTGCGGGATGCGAACCCGGATCTCTGCGGCGAATTATCACGTATCTAACTGATTGAACTATACAATCTTATACTCAAATTTATATCTTATTAAAATTAAAAAACAATATTTTCTATGATCTATACTTTGAAAAGCGTATTCAAACAGGACTCTACATACCTTTAAAATCTGCTAGAATTTTAGTAACGTGCACACTTAAATAATTGAAATAGGTATATTTTATCAGAAATATGCTTAAACTAAAGCATATTTTTGAGCCTCTTTTTACTATTTGCTTAAGCATATTCGAACCTGTTTCAAAAATTTCATATGCTTTAAAAAAAAAACATGTATATTCCTACCCATCATTCTTATTTTTAATATACGTAATGAGTTCAAAAAACATCGTTGTATATATTTATTATGGCACGTTTCGTAAGTTTATTTCCGTTAAGAATTCTTTCGTATGTTGTGATCCGAAATACTTTCGTTTCGAAAGAAATTTTATTTTTTATCAATATTTCTAAAAATAAAACCGTAAAAATTTAATAAGTTATTTTACTGAAAATAAAAATTCATTATAAACATTTTGGGATTTAAAGATGTTAATTTTTACAATTAAAATCAGTCTGGCAAACAAATTTTCTTTATAGACTTCAAAACGTCGTTTGGCAAAAATGTTTGTTTCGCAAGTGCGACTTCCGAAACCGCTACTTTCGTATGTTGCAAAATAGTTTTGTTTCGTATGTCAACTTGCGAAATGCTAAATTTCGGAAGTGGCTTTTGCGAAATGAACATCGGCGATTTTAAATGTTTCGTAACATTCGGTACGAAAAAATGTAATTCCGTGTTCTCAATCTCCTTACGAAAGAATGTTGTTTTTCCGGAATTGCACGAAATCCTCCGGTTAACAACCCTAGTTTGTTCCCAAAAATTCATAACACTTATTCGTTACAGACGCTATCCAGCTAAATCAGGAAGATCAGTTAAAAATAGTTAAAAACCAATTCCAAATCCATCAGAAATTTGATTAAAACAAATGGGATGAAAGTTAATTAAAAAACAGTTATCTCAGGGCCGAAAACATGGGTTTCAACACAATCGTCAGTTTTTTAAAAAAGTCATCAATATATCTAGAATTTTCTTTAATAAAAAATAAATGGGGGGGGGGGAAGGCGGTGTTGTCGGCTCTGTTATCTTCTGGTCTGATAATCAGAAATAAGCATAAGCGTGTCAAGAGACAAAAAATGTTAAAGAAACGGTACCACCGACAACTTTTTTTAATGAAAAGTTAATCCTGCTTATGCGCCCTGTTAACAGAAAAAATGATTGAGTTTATAGAATTGTTGTTACTGAAACATGTTTAAAAAAAAAAATCACTCAATTCATCCGATTCTCATTGATAACAACAACATTGAGCATACATAACTCAATCCTCCTGTGGGGGGACATTGTTATGCTTGTCAAAAAAGTTAATATACAAGCGAAAAAAGTTAATATACAAGTTAATATACAAGCGAAGAGATAATTTGATGATTTATTCACCTAATTTTTTAGAATACACTTTTGTTGAATTAATTTTTTTTTAAAAATTCAATATTATTGTTGGGTGCATTTATAGACACTATTGCATGGACATAAATATTTTCAATAATATAATGTCTGCATTGCTTCTAAAAATATCTGCAGAAAATAAATCTGTTTTTTTATTTGTTGATTTTAATATAGATTTGATACAATCAAGTAATGACATTGCGACCTGTAATTTTTTAAACTTACTTTGTATTTATAATATTTGCCCTTTTATTACTTTGCTACGAATTACTGAACACTCTGCTTCAACCATTGACAATATTTTTTCTAATTTAATAACTAATGATATTATTTCTGGAAATTTGACAACTTCTGTCTCTGATCACCTACCTCAATTTTGTGTTTGTTTTTTTTTTGATTAAGAAAAATATAGATCTGACTTATTAAAATGTGATTGGGATGACGTTAAAAAAAAAAGTGACACTAACTCTTGTTTTCATAAGTTTATTACTGAAACAACATCGATTTTGAATCGCTATGCCCCACTCGAAAAGACTAGTATTAAGAGCTTCAAACGTCAATTTAAACTATAGATTAGAAAAGGAATCATAAAATCTATTCAAATAGCAATCTTTTTCAAAAAAAAATGTTAAGATCAAAAGATTTAATAAATATAAACACATTTAAAACTATTTTTAAGCGATATAAATTCATGATAATTACTTTAATTAAATTTAGCAAAAAAATCAATTTTAAATTTTTTTTTCAGATAATGTAAAAAATCTTCGCGAAATTTGGAAAGGCATTAATAATGTAATAAATGTCAAAAATTATAACAGCTCATCTTCCAACTGTTTACAAGATAATGATAAATATTTAACTGAACCGACTCTAATCTCTGAAAAATTTAACACTTTTTTTACAAATGTTGCTCATAAACTTAAATCCAATATTCATTCGTCTTACGTCAACTATCAAAAGTATCTTAAATATCCAAACTTACATAGTCTACTCTTATCTCAAACAAACATTCCTGAAATTTCATCTCTTACCGGGTGACCACGCAACTGCGTTACGCTCAAATCTAAGACTCTATCCATGCTTATAGATACCCGTGGATCTATTTGTTTACAAATTATGCAATGGTATTAACACAGAAATAATAAATAAAAAAAAATGTAAAAATTAAAAAAATTTAATTAAAATGGATCTGCAAGAATCAAAAAGACAAAGCATTCTGCAAATGTTGCAATCGGATAAGACTACATCAGATATCAGAAAGGCTTTAAACTGCTCCAGAACAGCAATTTTTGGAGTAAGAAAACTTTTTCATGAAACAAGAGATATCAAACGACGTTTTAATAAGCCAAAACCTGTGAAACAATCACCTCAGCTTTTAAGGTCTGTCAAAAGAAAAGTCAAGCGAATTCTATTGCGCTCCATCCGCCAGTTGGCAAGGGAAGCCAATGTTGCTAACTCCACAATGCAAACAGTTATGAAAGATTTAAATCTTAAATCCAGAGTTGTTGTGACTAAGCATCTTATCACTAATAAACAGAAAGAAAGTAGGAAAGAGCGATGCAAAAAAATGTTAAACTGGCGAAAATCTTACCCTGGGCCTGTGACAATCTTCTCTGATGAAAAACTTTTCACTGTGGATAAAGTTACTAATCATCGTAACACAAGGTACCTTAGTTGTACCATCGTAACACAAGGTACCTTAGATGAGTTTATCCACCTCCTGCAAGAGAAGGTCATTTCCTGGTTAAACAGAAACTATCCAGATGGTCAGTATGTGTTTCAGCAGGATGGAGCACCAGCTCATACTTCAAAAAAGATACAAAATTTTCTCAGTGAAAAGATGAGTTAGTAGTGGAACAAATTAAAGTGGCCCCCATCTAGCCCAGATCTGAATCCATTAAACTTTTTTATGTGGACAGCTGTGGAGAAGGAGGCTTGCAAGATTCCCTATGGAAGTACCGAGTCACTTAAAAGATCTATATGCAAAGCATGGGTCAAAGTTCCAGAAGAAGATGTCAAGAATGCATGCAGATCCTTCCAGCGGCGTATCCAACTTGTGTATGATGGTAATGGTGGCCACATTGAATAATTTTAAACCTTAGTCATGAATAAACATCTAGTCAAAAGTCTAGTCAGTTATGAATTGAAATAAATATTTTGTGTATTTTCAAACTTTTATATTTTTTGCGTTACGCTGTTACTTGGTCACTCGGTATATCTAAATTGAAGCCGAGAAAACCATTAGGTCCAGACAGTATTCCTACAAACATTCTTATTGATTTTAACTACGAATTTTCAAATATTCTGTCTAAACTATTTAATATCTCATTCATGAATGGAACATTTTTTGATATTTTCAAATTATCTTGTATTATTCCAATTTTCAAAAACGGCTCTAAACTTTTATTTACTAACTATAGACCTATTTCTCTTTTATCTAACATTAGTAAGCTTCTTGAAAAATTAATGTATTTTAGAGTGTACTCTTTTCTAAACTCTTTTAACTGTTTAAATGAGTTTTAATTTGGTTTTCGATCAAACCATTCTACCTGCCACGCACTGATAAATATAACTGAAAAAATTAGAAAAGCTCTTGATACTGGTCATTTTGCTTATGTTTTCATCGATTTACAAAAAGCTTTCGATACCGTTGATCAAAGCATTTTGATTTCTAAGTTAGAACATTATGAAATTCATAGAGTTGTAAGTGATTGCTTTCGATCTTATCTTTTGGACCGTTAACAATATGTAAGTAATAGTGGTTATACTTCTAATAACAAACGTGTTACATGTGGTGTTTCTCAAGGTTCCGTTCTTGGTCCTCTTTTGTTTTTAATTTACATTAATGATCTAAATAACTTTGTTCACTTCTCGTCAGTTTATCTATTTGCAGATGATACCATCCTCTTGCATGTCAACAAATCGTACTATTCTCTATGTAAAAACATAAATTCAGATCTTAAAAGTATAGTTCATTGGTTAAATACCAACCTAAGATGTCTTAACACCGAAAAGACTGAACTAATTTTTTTTTTATCTCCTAAAAAAAACTCTAACAACAACAGAAAAAAACTGTAACAACGTTGAAATTAAAATCATAATAAATAATAAATGACTATATCCCTCGAGAGTTATTAAATATCTTGGTGATTTAATTGGTTGCAATCTTTCATGGAACTTCCTTATCGATGAGCTGCGTAAGAAACTAAATTGTGTAAATGGTATGCTTTCAGTAATTCGACATTCTGTCAATAAAGTTACTCTTTTAAATATTTACTATGCATTATTTTCATCTCATCTTAATTATTGCTGTCAAGTTTGGGGTCAAACTGGTAACTATTATATCAACAAACTAATTTCATCTCAACGCCAATCCATTAGAATAATAAACTTTCAACTTTTCAATTCAGATACATCAGATTCTTTTAAAAAACTTAAAACTCCAACTTTTCGTTTGCTAGTAAAGTTTGCTAATCATCTTTTTGTTTTTAACTCTCTAAATAAAAATTTAGAGAGTTAAAAACAAAAAGACCTTTAAATTAGTTTTACTTTCTATACAAAAAATTGCGACCTTCTTCTGTCGCAATTTTTTGTATAGAAAGTAAAACTAATTTATACACACTCTACGCAAAATATAAATAATGGAAATCTTATTGTACCATCATATAAAACTCAAAAGTATGGTAAGAATTCTGTTGTGTATCAGTGCATCTGTGAATGGAACAAGAGCCTTGTGTGCATTGTGAATGAGTTCAATAAACTCCAACTCCAAACTCCTTTGTCATCTTTTCTTAATCTTAATCAAAATCAATTTAAAAAATTCTGAAAAATATTTTGTTATAATTTTTTTCTATTGCTATAATAATTATCCTTATTTTTTGTTTGTTTTTCTTTTCTCTTTTATTATTACCTATTTATATGATTTTTAAAAAGTTTACTTAATGTGTGTCTATGTTTTATGTTTTATATTAATATGTATATTATTAGTCATATTATTTTGAAAAATGGTGTCACTCCTTTAATCAGACTTCTGTATGGGTGACACCATCCATACTAATCATTAACTTATTATAATAAGAAATAACAAATCATTTTACTTAATATTATAGTAATTATTATTATGTATATTGTTTTTGTTATTATTATTATTATTGTTATAAATTATTACTATTGATTATTATTTTATAGTTCTTGTTATTATTAATTACCTTATTATTGTAAAAATGGAAAATAAATAGCTTGTTGTTGTTGTTGTTGTTGTTGTTGTTGTTGTTGTTGTTGTTGTTGTTGTTTTTGTTGTTGTTGTTTAGTGTTAGTTTGAAAGAGATCCCACGTTATATAAGGGCTTTTCAAAAGTGCATCAGGACTTTTTTATTATGCATTTTTAAATTTAGTTTTGTCCTTGAAAAAAATTAGATTTATTGCTTATATCATAGTTTATTAATAGAGAAATTAAAATAAACTAAGAATTCTATTTTTATGACAAATGTAAAATCTCATTCTAATAGAATGTTTAGCGTCTACCTTCTTTCCAGCAGGATTTAGCCTTCAAAAATAACGCAAAAACCATTCAAAAGAAAAATTTCTCGTCTTTCATTCCTGTGTCAGAATGGCTCGCCAACAGTCCAGATTTGACCACGTATGTTTTCTTTGCATGAGGTTATTCGTGTTAGAAAAACTTAAAAATGTAAAATGCAATAAATTAAATGATTCTAAGGATTTAGTAATCAAAAAGTGGGATGAAATTTTTGACGGTATTGTCTATTGTCATAAAAGACAATAGATAATACCGTCAAGAATAAATATATCTGTATTAAAGAAAAATTAGAAAAATTTGCAAGAAGTTAAATTTTTATACTAAATATTAATATAAGTTTCAGAAAAATAGTTTTTCTTAAATCAGAAAAGTGCTCTAATTTAGCAAACACAAAAACTATTAGATATTTGTAAATCTTATCACTGTAAAGTAAAGACCGTCATCAGACTTAAATATATTAAAAAAAAACAATACAAAAAATTTGCGGATTCCTTTAAAGTATAGAATGATTATATTCGAAAATTATTTTCTTTTTTTATTAGAAAAACTTCTCATTTTATCAGATATAATAAAAACCAGAAACGTTTGATTTATCATATACTGTGCTTTAACACACGATAAACGATTTTATTTGTAATTTAGTCATTAAATAAATCTGAAGAATTGCTTCACATAAAACTAATTTATTTTGCAAACTTTGGAGAGAAACCGCTTCACCAATTCCATGTTAAACTTCTGATTAGGATTTTTAGGATGTCCTACTTCTTTTCATTCTTTACTAATATTTAAACAACTAAAAAATATTCATGTGTTAAAAGAATCAATAAAATCTTCCAACTGGAAAGAGATGAACATATTATTTCTAGAGTTAATTCCTTTAAATGTTTTAAATCTGTTAAATTTGCGTTTCTTGCTTTAGTTTGTTACCTGAATATAAGTCAACCATTAACGAATACAAAGATGCTTATGTTAAACTTGGTCTTCAATTGTCACTGAAAGTGCATGCTCTTATCAAACATACATGTGAATTTCTTTCACTTATGTAAAATTCCAATCCGAATAAAGGATTAAGTTTTTGGTCTGAACAGTCTTCTGAATCTGTTCATTATGATTTTTAAGCAGTTTTGGGAGTGTGGATACAAGGTTCCTAGAAGCCTTAAAGACTATCCGCAAAGCCAGCTTTAAGCCACAACTACCGACATACCTTCTTAAAGTTCAAATATTTTCTAGGGAAAGAGGCAATGATAGCACTTAAAAAAAATCTACCATTATGAATTCGACTAAAATTCATCTGTAAAATTTGCATTTAGAAAAAAAATAATTTAAAGTTATAAAGTTATGACTTCGTAAAGTTGACAACACCCTCAAATAGAGGAATAATAAAATAAGATACTAAGATTAAAAGATTTTTTAAGATTGAATAAGAGAATAAGATATTTAAATTATTTCTCAAATAGAGGATAAAAATAAAGGATAAATAGAGAATTTCTTATATTAAAGAATAAAAACTTTTTTAATATAAAAATATATAAGATAAATTAATTTTCCCGATGATTTTTTATCTTTTTATGGAGATTACAAAAAAAAATTTTTTTTTTGTTTCCACATTTGGGACAGTGGGTTCTGATTTTTCAGTTGAATATTGTTTCCAGGCTCCTATCATAGTAATTTTTTGTAAAACTTTCTTATTTGATACCAGTGTCAATATTAAAATATTTGAAGTTTGCACAATCTTTAGAAGTTACCTATTTTGAACTTCAAAAAATCATGACATGCCCGTTTAACCCCCTTTTTTTTGGAAGATGTCAACAGAATTTTTTTAAAATCTAGGTCACAAAACAAGGTATTGTGGTTTCGAAAATGTAATCCGTTTCTGGTGTACTTTTTTTTTCGTAAGAAATATTTCCACTAGGGTGTGTACAACAAATTTAGGGGTTGTCCATAAAGTACGTATGCTCATAGGGAAAAGCCTTTAAAAACGTACCAAAGCGTTTTTTTTTTTTTGGGGGAGAAGGTTCAATTCTAATTTATCACAATTAACCAGCTAATCAATAGAAAAGTTAAAATTCTGACTAAAGATCCTAATTTGCCAATATAAAAAGATGTTTGGTATAAGTAGTAGAAGGTATAGTTTCCCTCAATGCACACACATGCATAGAGGCACGCAAAATTTTTTGATGCTTTAGATAGAATACTATCAAAATATTTTTGAGTATATAACTTTTGCAAGCTCCAAACTTAAGTATACCTATGCTAAAGGTGTGAAAGTGACTTATCTAGAACATCAAAAAATCCTGCCACCCCTGTATATA